CTCTACATCATACTTAATTTTTGCATTTTTTTTTTATTTCATGTAATTTCAGGCGTTCCGTAGGCAATGTAGGACAGTGCAATATGTTACAGCTATTTAACAAATATAAGTGTTTTATATAAGATTCTAAAAGGATTGAGTACGTTATATTAAAACGATTTTGAATGAAGAAATCAACAAGTCACATGACAACTAGAGCCGGTATAAGGTCACGGTTGGATGTAATGTATCAGAAATACATTTTGACAGTTTTTGGCATTACGTAGGAAGTGTAGGACGGTGCAATATGTTACAGCTATTTAACAAATATAAGTGTTTTATATAAGATTCTAAAAGGATTGAGTACGTTATATTAAAACGATTTTGAATGAAGAAATCAACAAGTCACATGACAACTAGAGCCGGTATAAGGTCACGGTTGGATGTAATGTATCAGAAATACATTTTGACAGTTTTTGGCATTACGTAGGCAGTGTAGGACGGTGCAATATGTTACAGCTATTTAACAAATATAAGTGTTTTATATAAGATTCTAAAAGGATTGAGTACGTTATATTAAAACGATTTTGAATGAAAAAATCAACAAGTGACATGACAACTAGAGCCGGTATAAGGTCACGGTTGGATGTAATGTATCAGAAATACATTTTGACAGTTTTTGGCATTACGTAGGCAGTGTAATGCTACCGAAATTTTTTCGCTTTTAGGAAGAGATGTAACAACTTTCTCCGATGCAAAATATTCATAGATTCAGATCCTAAAGATGTATTCAGACAGGGACTTAGAATTTTCAGGACAAGAAAAACAAAGGAATATGGATCAACTTGGGGCCCAAGGGCCACCCAGAAAGAGACCTGCAACGAGTCGTACCCCAGCCATAATAAGGAAAGTGTTGTGTTTTATAACAGTTGAGAATTCAAAAATACAAAGTTCTGTGGCAAAAGCCATCTACATGACCCATGCAAAAGTACGTATCATAATCAAGAAGGACACCTTCTCTGAGAAAGCGACACAAGTCACCTCTATATAAGCTGCCACCGCGACATGTCCGTTCAACTGTCGTATACCACAGGTTGCAGGAGAATGAAACGGGTATTAATACTATTCCATACAAAGACATACCAGTAAAATCTTCTGTGTAATCAGACTTTTGAAACCATCGTTCTCGAATACTAGATGGATTCTGGATAGCCAGCAGGGATCAGTGGCGTGCTTTTGACACGACAGTCTCATGGCGCGGTGTTTTGCAATGGAAACAAAATGCACAGCCGTCAGCTAGAGCATGATCGAATGTGGCGACATGGACTGTAACGACGTGGTGAGGCTCTAAACTCGTTTTAATATAAGGTATTCAAAAGTATACAGTAATTGTTTCTCTCTCAGTGTATTTTATTATATATATATATATATATCCAGTTTTCGAGCTTTCAAGTTGGATGGGTGAAGAGGTCATTCAAAACATCAGTTTTGTGAATGTCACAGGTGACACCTTTACCTCATTTCTGGCCATTCGCTTGAAAATTTCTTTACGTATTTTACAGTCGTTTCGTTAGGAAGTAGGTCATTAGTCTCACCTACATAGAAGGAGTAAATTTGATCACACTAAAAACAACAACAAGAAAAAGGCTGAATTAAAGGTTTCTGTGAAATAAATAATGTTCAATTATCCAAGGAAATTATTGATTTCTTTTAACCATACATAAATAAATAAATAAAATAAAGTCAGAATACGGAAAGTGTCAATCTAACATGATGTTGAAATTTTGTTGTGTATTGTGAATTCATTTAACTGGCATTTTTGTCTGGAAGCATATTATGCTGCTAGTATGTTTTACTAAAATTTTTAAGCATATTAAGACTGCTTTCTTTTCTAGAAAAAATAAAACGCCGAATTTGAGATAAAGGAATGTTGGTAAAAATCTTCAAATTATTCAGTGTTTAAGAGACGTAAACATTGCGTAATTTTGTTATTTTACTGATACAAGTATGAAATATAACGGAAAGATTCAATAAGTGAACCACAATTTGATATATTTTTTGTTATTTGCTGATGCAAATATAAAATAGGACGCAACGTTATAGTAAGTGAACCACAATTTTGATTTGTTTATTCGTTATTTACTGATGCAAATATAAAATAGAACGCAACGTTTTAGTAAGTGAACCACAATTTTGATATGTTTATTTGTTATTTACTGATGCAGATATAAAATAGGACGCAACGTTTTAGTAAGTGAACCTCAATTTCATAATTATAAGTTAATAATCTCTCAGCCGATATTAAAGAAAAATCGACAATACCATAACGAATGGCAGTTTTAAGAAAGTGAACAAAATCTTCTGATGGTTTGATAATATAACTTAGTTTGAAACCAGTTAATATAATTTTAGGTCATTGGTTCACCGTATCAAAAAAGTAGACTAACCTATTATAGTACTTTCAAATATTTTATTTCTTTATTTTCGTATCTCACAACATTTTACATCTAAATATGCCGAAATATCGACTACTGGTACAAAACAATTGAGTCACATTTTACTATTTTAACCATAAATTTTGTTCATAGCATTTAAGGACTGTTTATAGCATATTTATTTCAGAAAATAAATTTTGTTTATTGTTTTTTAACTAAGGCCAGTTATAATTGAAACTTAATGATTTGTTGAAAAATGATGGTACTTAATTGATGTTTGACAGATTCCAGTTGCACCCAACACTACGAAGATGGTCTAGCTGCACCCAATACTACGAAGATGGTCTAGTTGCACCTAACACTACGAAGATGGTACAAAAAATATAGAATTAATCAACTTCACTATATATTGTGTTAGTTTATACGTTCACATATATATTTATTAAATGGAATATAGTTCAAGGAACATATACAATATACAGCAACATAAATCATATACAGAATTTACATAAGCGCATCTATGACGTTTGTATTTGCTTGAACTTAAGCACAAAGCTACACAATGGGCTATTTGTACTTTTCTCACCACGGGTATCGAAACTTGGTTTCTAGCGTTGTAAGTCCGCAGACATTCCGCTGTCCCACTTGGGGGGGGGGGACTCAGCACATAGTCATCACTAACTTTGAGCTCATAGACTGGTGAGAATGCAGTATCATTCGGTCGTCACTCTTATAGCGCACCAATAGCCCCAAAATGCGCAGCGCATTTTTATGCGGCAGCTGGTCGCCAACCACGATTCATAAAATTCATAGTTCGGATAACTAACGAATAATCATGTCTGCAATTCACATATAAAAGACAATATTAACATTTCAAAAAATACGTGCACATCACTATTCACCAAATATATATATATATATTCGGATGTTGGTGTACTTTGGTGACAGATTTTCTTGTAGGCAGATTTTGTTAAACAAGACCGATGTCTGTAGGTTTACTTTCTTCTTAGAATTCTTCTCAAGAAGTCGATAAGCCGTCTTAACGTTGTTAGTTAAGACGGCTTTTCGACTTCTTGTTAAAAATTCTAAGAAGAAAGTAAACTTACAGACATCGGTCTCGTTTAACAAAATCTGGCTATATATATATATATTGTTAGGTGGTTTTTATAACTCCGGACTCTGGATCCGAGGGTCCGTGGTTCGTGTCCCGTTACTGCCTCCCCTCCCCAATAAAATTCCGTCCTATGGGGCCTTTGGTGCGTTATAAGAGTGACGGTCAAATCCAACTATTCGATTAAAGTATCCCACAAGTTGGTAGTAGGTGATGTTGACTAGCTGTCTTCCCTCTAGTCCATAACTTCAAAATTAGGGACGGCTAGTGCAGATAGCCCTCGAGTAGCTTTGCGCAGAATGCAACAAAGTCAGGTGGGTTTTAACAGAGTTTAACCAGTAATTGCTTAACCGAAAGTCTTCCTTTGCACCTTCATGTTTGAATTATAATAATCATTAGTCATTCTTTGAGAATCCGTTATAGAAGCATTAGGCAACATAATTGTAGCACTTAATTAATGTTAGAAATATGAATAGAACAATAGAAAGAGCAATTATATGAAGGCAAAGGATGGCATACGTAAAGTATCCTAGCTGGGTGTTGGAATAACAAGTTGCAATAAAATTTAAAACCAACGTTAAAATATATTACCAACAAGATTTTTGTACTGTTGCACGTTATATAAAACTTAGATAAATACATGGTTAAACTGAGTGAATGTTGTTTGTAAGGTAGGGGAATATAAACTTACATAAGTAATATCAGTTACAAATTCCTATTAATTCACAAAAAAAATTCATTATAGAAACCACGTGCTAATCAACACCTTGTAACGATCGAAAAGTCCTTCAGGTTACTCGTAGACGCTGGTGATTTAAAACAGGGAAATGGGGTAAAGGTACGCGCAAATATAGATATCTCATATTGAGAAGTTGAGACTTGTCCTGAAGTATAAAAAATAACACAATACAAAAATCTAATTTTCCTCAGACAAGTTGGCAGTCCCAAGCATATAGAGATGTACAAATTCAAAACTTGGAACTTTATGTGAGATCCCTTAATCCAGTGACGAGCAGTGCTAGTTCGCTACTATATATATATATAAGGTATATAGTCTTCTTTGACTTGAATATAATATAGACAATGTTTTGTATTTTCAAATGATGAGTGAGAGGTACGTGTTACTTGTTGAAATATTTGCAAATTGGTAAGTTAAATACAAGTTTGTGACTTTAATTATACAGCTATAATGTGCAGTTTCAGAGTACGTTTAAATATATAAATATTAGGACAACTGATATTCTAGATATCTTGGTGAATTGTAGAATAATTGAGTATTGAATAAAGATGTTAACAGGTACAGCTCTTGTTTATATACAATGGTGAAATTCTCTTTAAAGAAATACGAGTACTTGTCTACTGCCAGGACTGGTAACATAGTGTGTCAAGTTTACTGCACGAATCTCTTCATGTACTATTGAAGTTGAACTGCCAAGAAGTGCATAAAGTAACGGAGCTCAATACCTAGTTAAAAGCCCCCCCCCCCCCCAGTGGCACAGCGGTATGTCCGCGGACTTACAACGCTAGAAACCGGGTTTCGATACCCATGGT